AAGAAAAAAGACCCCAGATCTCCAAGGTAGATTTTGCGCAGTAAAAAGCAAATGTTTGACTTTTAAATTGAGTAAGATATTAACAGTGAGGTCATGCAGAGTGCCATGAGACTTGTAAGGGCCACAGCAAGGCAGCAGCCCCGTCCCCTGTGAGTCACCTGGTGCTGGATACTGATAAAGAAAGGAATGAGCTGTTAGCTCAGTAGTCAGAATTGGTGTCTCAGATTAGCTCCCTGTTCCTCAGAGCTCCTCCATTAAAACCAATTCATCTGGCAGCACTTGACCTTTGCAATTTCACAGAAAAAACATCTGAGCATTTGCCTTCTCAGATAAAAAAATGCAGCGCTTTTTACTTTTGGGTGACTAATAAGAGCAAAAATATGTGCCCACGATTAAAGCAGTGCACTTTAGATTTACTTCAGAATAAGTTAACTCAAACTATACTGTTATTTTTCAGAGCTGCAATTTTGCCAAACACCTGTTTGTTAACATCCCTGATAAAAATGGTAAAATGGTGCAAAAGCACATGAAGATCTATACTTGGAGAGAAATAAAGAAATAATTATTTGGATAGAGTACACATCAAATGAGAGAGGCAGTGTTTGTGATTCCATTTTATTTTCTGTTTCCATGAAAGACTTGAAGCATGAAAAAAAGTGCATTTATTGAATGTGCAGGTGAATGAAGATGAAAGCAACAAGTATCATGCTGGAGAGCAGGATGGCTCTCTGAATAAGGGTCTGAATAAATGGTTGCAGAAGAAGTCAAATGTCTTGCTGCGATGGCAGAACAACCTGTAAAATGCAGGCACGTGTCCTTTCACTGTCCTGAGCCCTGCTGAACTGCCCAGCCAGAGATCCAGCACTGCACAGTGGGGAAGATGAGATCCAGTTGGAGAAGAGATCCACAAGTGCATGAACACAGGTGTGGAAAATCCTAGGATGCAAATACTGGGAAAGCTCTAAGCTGAAAAGCCGAAAGGGTGTTAGTCTAGGAAAAAGGAGACCAAAGGTGCCATGATAACAACCTGCAAATATGTAAAGCCTGATGCAAATTATGAGGGAGTGGTAACACGTTTTCTCTGTGGTGTGCAGGATGAAATTAAAAGTGTTTGCATGTTTTATTAGATTAACAAACTAATCTGATAAGCAAGGACAGGTGTGTAAATCTTTACTAATCTTGAAACAGAAGCTGTGAATAAGACCATCTTTGCTCCAACACTACTCATAAGAGTTACATTTGAGCACAGCAGCAGCAGCTTGTCCAGACTTAAGGATTCCTGTTGTCCTTGGGTACTTTTGAGAAGAGTTTAGGCAGAAGTGATTCCACATTAACTGCTTTAAGTTAGACCAACTTTACTAACTGTTTATGTCCCAGGGCTGTAGGTATTTTCTGAAGACTTTGACTCAAACTCTTGCACTGAAAGGTTCACCTGTTTAGATGCCCAGGTCAAATGGTTAAGCAACATTTAAGAAGTTGTTCATCTGCCACCTAAACCTGCAATCACTTTCATGTCTGTGAGTGAGCCCCCCGTTCAGGTATAAGCTCTCACATCAGGTGGCTTTGCTACCAACTCCCTCCCTTATGAATGTTGAATCTATAAACCAGAGCAAATAACCCACAAAATTGTATTTGGGTTATCACCCCAGAGTGGCCGACGATTTAAGGATTTCATGTGGAATGTGACACACTTTGCTGCTTCAGATCTCTTTTTGCTGACCAGAGATGTGAACATTATTTAATCTCTGGCATCCTAGACTGAAACCTTTAATAGGTGAATGGTTTGGGTTGGAAGGGCCCTTAGAGATCATCTCATTCCACCTCTGCCATGGGCAGGGACACCTTCCACCAGACCAGGTTGCTCCAAGCCCTATCCTGCCTGGCCTTGAACACTCCCAGGGATGGGACATTCACAACTTCTTTCTTTCTGCCCAACAAATAATCAAGCTGATACCAAAACTAAAGGCTTCTTCACATTATTTCAGCGATTTGGGTAAACACTATACACAGAAATAAGATTTCATAAAGTCTGTGGAAAGATTTAAAGACACATTTTAATGAAATGAGTTCAACTTGAGTCTTTCCAGCCAATGAAGAGATGGAGATTATACAGGGGGATGTATATTTACAAAGAAATTAAAGGAGCATTGCAATATGGTTATGCTCATTTATGCCTGTGAGAGCATGGCCTGAAGTCTACCAAGCTCTTGGTAAAAAAAACTGTGGCAAACTCATTGAACTCTGGGGCACAGGGTCAAGATTTTTAATTTTTTTTTTTTTAAAGAGTTTTTGCAGTTTTCTGGAGCTCACAGGGAATTAATTTAACTGCTTAGCAGTTTTATATTGCCAGATGTAATTAAGTTTTTTTCTCTTTTGTTCACCATGTTTTTAGATTAATATCCAGATAATCTGTCCCGTTGTTTGCACTTAAAAATAAAGAAAATAAAAATACTACTACTGTATTCACTATCAGCACAAGAAAAGCACTTGCTCAGGATCTCACTTGCTAGTATGTGATTTAAAGCTGCAACTAATAAGCTTCAGAAATTCAGGTACTTTTGTTTAGCTATTTACTAAAATGCAGATATACAAAAGTGAAATACATCCTGGATTACAAACACATACTATAGTACAATGCAGTTGTAAGTAAACTGCACTGAAAGTTGTACTTATCCTTCATACACAGTTTTTAAACCATTATTAAATGCTTTAAAAAATCCAACTCAAGCAATACAACAGTGACCCAGTAAGATTTTACCAGCAGAATATTAATTTCCCGAGCTCTTGAAGACTAGATGCTTTTACTATTGCAAGAGCAATTTGTGTTGGTGACATTTTATCATATATCAGCTTGTAACTTACAGGCAAACAATCTGTACTGTTCATCAAAACTTACCTACTCTATCTTTTAACATTTCATTTTCTGCTGCAGTTATAGTTTTTAGTGGCATACCTAAATTCTCATCAGATATTTAAATGCATGTTTCCATATTTTGTTCTTAAGTGTCCTTACTCTGTTCTTAAGTGTTTCTTACTCTGATAATTAGCTGTATCGCCAAATTTTTATTAGAAAAAATTTATTAGAAAAAATCCACTTGGTTAGCTAAAGAAACCTCTAGATGTTATTTTTCTTGTAGTAATATGTATACAATATATGTTATTTTTCTAGAAGTAACATATAAAATATAGTCCTTGTAATTATCTCATAGAATTCTCCAGAAGAATTTAAATGCCAAGCAACGCAAGCTGCTGCAGCAGAAGCTGAAGAAAATAAGGCAGGGGAGTTGCTTAATCCACTATGAAGTGTAGAGGGGGAAAAAAAAATCAATGTACATACGTATATAAACATGTTCAGAGGAGTGAAAAAAAAAATCCCAACCCTAGAATGTCTGAGTCCCTGGAATTGTCATGAGCCTGTCACCAAATTATTTTGGAAATCTTATCTTAAATATTTTTTGCAGAAAAGCTGTTTTTAATATGTGGAATCAAGTAAGATATTGCTCAGTTGTCTAAATAGTACTCTCCACTTGATTTTTGGTAACAGTTTTTGACTCAGTTTGGTTCTCAGCAGTTCTCAGCAGCTGAACCCCTCACTTGTAATCTCTAAACACTTCAGCAATGGTCTCTTCTAACTTCACCTCTCCTGTTTGCAATCCAGGGAGCGAGATGATTGCTGGCCCTGAGGCATTGCTGCTGTGTGCTGTCCCTGGCAGATCTGTCAGCTGCAGAGAAATGATCCTCGGACAACTGGACAAACCAGATATTCACTGACGGAGCATGTGACTGCACTTAAGGTCAGAGAGTCAGAGACTGCAGGACTGGGACCTTTAGAGATCCCTGAACAGGACTGTGTGCTGTGTGTTGCTGGTATCAAGGGAGACACCTGCAAAATTAAAGGGCTGCTTCATGCTTTGTGCAACCAGGCCTTGACAATCCTGTAAGCACAGGCTGATAGGGGTTCATCAGATTTACTGTCTTTTCGCTCCCTTCTTCAGAAAATAATTACTTAACTTGCTTATTATATGATTAGAAAAAAACCCAAAACCCCATTTTACACAGAATGAAGAATGTTAAGATGAGCTTCATCATCCTGCCATGCCAGATCTGATACCCTCTGTTATTTTGTCACCATACCCTGACTGAGATTAAAATATATTTTAAAAGTTTCTGATTGTCTTTATCACCACTGCTATGCACTGTTCTTTAAAATTGGTACTGAAAAATAATTCAGACTCTAAATGCTCTTTTCCTGTTCAAGTTTATACTCCCCAAGAATTAAATCCACCTTCTCAAAAAGGAACAAAAATAATGAGAGTTCCCCCTAAACTGTCTCCTGGAAATAGAGAATGTTCTTCTGGTATGGTGGTCATTTTCTTTACAGGGTGGAAACACACCTTTAATTCTTACAGCTGATAAATGTTGCTTCCTGATTTTATTTTATCATATACTAGGTTACTCTTTTCTATTTACAGCAGAAAGGTTTTTCTTGTTTTAATCTGTAGCTTTACATTAAGTGTGCTATGATTGCAAAGTATGTAAAACATATTTGTGGTAGAACTTGACAAGACAACATTGGAAACTTTGTTTTGGTCAGTTTTCAATGGATTTTATGTATTTTAAAAATGTATTTCTAAAAGTGAATAACTTGAAAGAGGAACTAAAAGAAGGCCATATGTTTAGACACCAGATACAAGAAAAAACAGTCTTCCAAGTTACATGAACCCCACTCAGATTTACTAATGGCTTCTTTGCGGTGGTTCTCTGAACAACCAAGAATTGCAACCAAATGTTATTGGCAGAAATCTTCAATAAAAGTGGATTCCAAGCGTTTGCCAAAATAAAAATTTAAAATATACACATGCCAATATTAGCACTATACATGCTTCACACCCAGAGAGGTCCAGCATACCAAGTGCTTTTCTGCATCACTCAGCACACACACTTCTTTGAGCACAGGCATAACTCCTTTAAGGAATCAGATCTCTGATCAGAAGAAAGAAAATGTTGTGGTAACAATTACACTGGACACAATTTGCCTACCATGCTGCATGAAGTTCAAGTGTGTCCAGATTTCTATAACCCTGAAAGTCTCCCAACAAATATTAAGGAGAATAGCAGGATATCTTCCACCTTTGAGTGAAGTAGAAGAAACTTGCTCATTGGGAGTGGTATTTTTTTCTAATATCCCTATCATGATGTCTTCCAAGCATTCACTTGCACTTGAAATTTGGTAATTGATGTCTCACTATGCATCTGCTTGACAACTACATCATCCATGGCTAAGTCACTTTCATTGTATCAGATAAGCCAGAGTTAACAGATAAATTCCTTCTAATTAACAAAAGATTTGCTAATAAAAACAGAATTATTAAATGTACTACACTCTCCATACTCTCCCTTTAGCCGCTTTGCATCTTCTTCTTTAAACTGTTTCTTCCTTTTCTCAGATTTTGCAGCTTGCTCCTTCCTTTCTTGATTTTCCTGCATTCAGACAGAATGACAAATTAAAAAGTAAATAAGAGTTTCTGAAGGAAAAGCTTGTTAAGAAACTCTCAGCTTGCAATGAATAGGTATTCTGAACATGCCCTGTGTGCACTTAAAACTCTTGGCTGCTGGGGTTTGAGGGTAAATAGCAGAACAGAGCTTCCTGGTCAGTCCCTATGGCCTTCTCTGTGTGATGATGTTACCAGCAAACTATTTCATCAGCTTTAACTGCAACTTTCAACTATGGACTGAAATGCATTCTTCTTAATTAGTCCCTTTGTCCACAATACAGAACATTTGTTTAACCTAATTAGCATTCTAGAGATTTATCCCATAGCAACCTTGTTTGTATTCAGGGATTTCTACCAGAATTTTCAGGAGCTGTTCAGCTGTGCTAAACAGCAATTCACAGTTTCTCTTCAGGCTCTCATTAAATTTTCCAGTAGTATTTCTGCACTACAGTTCAGGGCTAGAGTCCAGGCTGGATGTTTTTTGGTACCACTCACACAATTGCCAGAATGGCATAAATCCTGTTGGGATTTATGTAGATAGGCAGGATTCTGGTTTCCACAGAGCTGCTGGTACCAGAATAATATGATTAACGGAGGAAGAAAAGGGATTGGAATGATTACTGCTAGCAAAGAAGACCATTACTCAGTGGAAGAGTATTTCTGGCTTTTGATAAGTAGCACAACAGTGGGAGAAGGTAGCTCTGAACAACTGAGATAACTGAGTATAACAAAGATGATAAAAGCCGTTTTATTAAATGCTTCTGCAGTTTTTGTTCCAGAGCTGACTTTTTCACTAGAACATTGCCATCCCACCTGGAAGCTTGTCTGCTTTTGATTGCAACCAGTGAGGAGTTAATCTATACAGTGCAGGTAGATCAGTACTTAATAGGATGCTGTGTCATATGTCAGAATCTAATAACATCCATGAAGATGCTGATGATTTGGTGCAGATAAGATTTTTGATGAGACGTGTGGTCTCCTTTGCCGAGAGTCTGAAGGAGAAAATACAATTTCCCACTATAGTGATGAATCTGTTTGATTCCTATGGATCATCTGCCACTACTTCCATAAGAAGAGCTGAAGAAGTCCCAGAAAGTGTGCACAAGTTTATAGAACCAGGTTTTGTAGAAAGTAAAAGTCTAGGATACTTGGGTCCAAAGGAACTTTCAAACAAATAAAGAAAACTTGTGAGCATTAACAGAGTTAGTCTGTTTTAAATATAGGACCATTAGAGGCTCAAGGTTATAGAAACTGTCGCTGGGTGCATTGAAAAGGAAAAAAAATCTGTGTATTCTTGACACAGAAAGAAAAAAGATCCATTTGCTCCAAATAGAGGGTGTGTCTGAAAGACTGGCATACAGGTGGTGAGGTCTTACAGAGAGCCTAGAAGCCTTCCATCAGTGTATGCCTCCTATGTGCTTGCCTGATAAATTCCTGTCTTAGCATAACATTTTTGTCATACTGTGGTTGTTGGGAGACTTGCAGATTTGTGGGCCCTGGAAGAATGTCTCTATGTAATCTGCCATGAGAAATAAAGGAGGTAAATTCAGGGATATGTTGTTCTGCTAATTGAACAGCACACACAGCAGTGAGAACAAGCTAAAACACATTAGGAATAAATTCATCAATTGAGCAAGCCTGAGCCAAATTTTTCTTCAGAAAAACTGTAAAAAAACCCCAACCACCATAACAATTCAATATAAACACACTTAACAAAGTTTCTTCAAGACAAGAAAGTCCAAAAAGGCTCGTAGGGCAGAGTAATGACTACTTAACAGTCCCTTCTCCACCTTCCTGGATTAGTGAAGGCAGCTGCAGGGATGAGAGTCAGTGAAAGAGGGTGTCACTTTGGATTTACTCTTTGTGGGATGTTAGATACTTGCTTGATTTTTGAATTAAAGGATGCTCCAGAACAACTGTTTATCCCCACACTATCTAAAGCACATCCTGTTCCAGCACCATATGCACCCTGCTGAGGAGCAGCTGCTCCAGCTTGGTTGTCCTAGGGGAGTACACAGAGGAACTATCCCTGGGCAGAGCTGTCTGTATAACCTCTGTCATCAACTGAATACTTCCTAAAGCAGATTTTTTGGAACATTTTTTTCTTCTTTTCCTGAGATTAGACCATCTCTTCACTGGGAGCTCCCTTCCATGAACAGCTGCAAATGCTAAGGGAAATCAAATGTTTCCCACAATCCGCTATAATCACACAGTGTTTCTTTTCCCCACAATTTTACCACTCAGTTCTCAGCAAAACTCCAATTCTGATTTTTTTTGTCTTTGAGCTGAGAAGCTATTTTCTCCCTGTCTCCTTCCTCCTGCCATCTGCTTCTTTTATTTTTTGAGAACTGGTGAAACAGTCATCAGCCCTGGGTGACAAACCAGCTCCCTTGCCTCCTTTCACTGTGTCAGTTTTGGATATCATTTGGGTGTTTGGAAAGGCTTTGTTGATTTGGGTTTTTTTCCTCCAGGTAGATGGAGAGAAAGATGGCAGAGTCTTATTAAAGTAATTCCATTTGTGTAACTCAATTTTTGTTACCTGAAGGATAAGAGATCAGAAGGAGCCCTCAGGGAAGGGAGAAAGATTTTGTTTGAACAAAGTAAGAAACCCCAAATCTCTGCAGATAAGCTTAGGAGACATGAAGGATCACTATTTATCAAAACTATTTATCTTCTTATTTGATGTGGGAATGGAAAGATAGCACTAAGGATTTTGGCAGTGCTAAGAGACCTGCTTTACACAGAAGACTCATCTCAAAATAAAAGTTACACCTCACCATTAAAGCTTAAAATAAATGGCACTGGGAAGAGATGATGCCTGTGGCTGATTCTAGCATAAAAATCAAAATCACAGAACAAAAAGAGGCTTTAAAAATTAAAACTTTCAGCTTTTCAGCATGTCGCTGTTTCAAGTACAAATAGTATCTTTACTGTGGTGATAGTAAGAAAACAAGGCAAGAGGAAGAGGAGATTAATTCTAGGTCTGCAGTGAAAGAGACAGGTGCAGACAACATGGCTAACAGCTGTGGTACCTTTGAGGTGAGGTGCTGCTGAGAAATGGAACTCAAAATAAGATGAAAGGGAATTTACATTTTGGGATAAAAAGCTTTCTTTCTAGTTGCTCTGACTTGGCTGTGAGCAAGAAGCACCTAGAAACGTAGTTTGAATCTCCTGCAGCCATACTAGGATGCTACATAACCTTTACTGGGACTATTTCTTGAAGGAACTGCAGTTGTTGGAATTACCCTTAAATTTCCAGTGTAGCTCTCCACAGATGCTGAGCCATTATGTTCTTGACCCTCTTAATTCTTTCCTTCATGCCTAGAGTTTTAGAAACTTTAAGGATCAAGCATATTGCCAAAACATCTGTGGTTTATAGGGTTAATTTTCCAGACTCTGTGTGGCAGTATCACATCATTTCAGACCCTGGGTAACTGCATTGCTTGGAAAATCTCAGTTCAGTTCTTCATTGGAGAAGCAGATAGTGGGAACATTAGAGGATATATTTTTTTTGTCTTTCATCTTCTATCACTTCCTCAGAAATTTCATTGTTTTCATCTGAGTCTGTGATCTGCCCTGAAGCACTCCTCCAGTCTCTCTTGGCAGCAGAGCTGTCTGTATTCTTGCAGTTCTTGTAATGCAGATGGTTCTCTCTACAGAAGGTTTACCCAGGCTGGAGCTCTCCTGGAGTCAGCACAGGAACGGGTGATTCTTGCTGTTAAAATATGTATGAATGTGAAGCCACTATCACCTGGCATTGAGATGACCCTAAAGGAAGTACATTAGTCCAGGTGGGAAGTATGTTGTAAGAAAAGTGAAATGGAGGTTTACTAGAGAGTTTACTATTTGGAAGGTTCTCTGCCTAACTTTTGGTGAAGCTGCTTTTCTCTTACTCCTTATTGAAAGGAGTAAAGTCCTGTAAGTAAAGAAATATAATCCCTTGGGATATTCAGAAGGGTTTTTTGGGATGCAAAACACACTCTTTGGAGCTAACTAGTACAATGAAATACCAACAGATAAACACATCTTCCAATTAGCCTTTGCCTATTGGAAAAATTACCTTTTGTCTATCAGCAAAGACTATAAAGCATGTCAGGTTGCTCATTCTTTCACATACCACAAAGGTCCTATTACACTGAAGCCTGGTCCATAATTTTCACTGGGGAAATGACTTGAACCTTTCCCCACACCAAAAATCCCCAACGCCTTCCCCCCACACCCCCAAAAAAAACCTGAACCAACTAACAAAACCAAATGCCACATACAGACAAAAAAAGCCCCACATTTTATATTTGCCCACATCCTCATTTTCTGCTGCAGTTTGCAAGCACATAAATTTACTTTCATTTACTTCTGCAACCAGAGTTAGGTAACCTAGCTTAGAGTAGAGGAAGATAGAAATTATTGTTTGATTTTTTTAAAAAAAATTTAAAAGTCTAAACAGTCACAAGGGCAAACCACCTGTAATGTCTTGAGGAAGATCTCTCTGAAGGTTTTCATTGTGCTGAATACATCTTCCAAAGACAATTTTTTTTGGTCTTCACAAAGATAATCAGCAAGTTCTTCCTTCTTCTTTTCAATGGTGGCAAATTCCTTCTGCAGGTCCTTTGAAGCATTGAGGCTGCCCTGAGACACATTTTGTAACACAATTTATGCATATTAAAAAGCAGCATATTCCAAGCTGCTCAGAAGACATCAGCCACTTAACAGAGAGCAGTCAGTTTTTAAAAAACTAACAGCTAAGATTGGTTCACAATGTGTGGTATTTATTTCTGAATTGAATCTGCATTTTCATCATACAGCCATGTGGAAGTGTGGCACAACCTGGGATAATTGATCAAGGGACATGCAGCACCAGGATTTCTATCTTATAGTTTTAGTTAAGTGACCTATCCTGTGAATATTAAAAGCTAGGATGTTAAGAAATATGGGGGGGAGGGGGAAGCATATTGCAAATCTGTCCACTTCTTCCCCACAAAGCACAGTGAGACAAAACATGTTTCTGTGCTGCACTGTACATATTTATAGTTGCAGCCTACATTTCATTTTTAGGGCCTTCCTTTCTTTAACCCACAGAAAAATCTGTCTAGTCCTCAGATGTTTCCATATCCCATTATCACATCACAGAAATGGAGGAAAATCTGGGATACTTCTTCCATCAGGGCACAGTGGGGGTGTAGTAATAACCCCTTTCCCACAAAGCTTAATGTCCATTGAATGCAACCTGAATCACAGTGCCTTTAAGAAGAGAGTGTTTAGGAAGAAAGATGGGAAATGTGTCACACTCACATTACCTACTTGCACAGATTTTCCATGCTGTATTTTTAAATCACATGTTGACAAAAATAAGCGTTTCTCTATTTCCAGCAGTTTCTTCAAATTGGCACCTGCCTCAGCCTGCATGGCATCAATGTGGATTCTGAAAGGTCCATAAAAGGGATAGTACATTGAAGTCTTTTGTTTGCATTAACTTAAAAGGTTATTATAAACATTATCATCTCTGCAAATGAACATGGAATTAATTGTCCAGCCCAGACCCTGTTTTTGCAGGTAGTTCTTTTCTGTATAAATTCTTTTTCATGTGCACAAACCCTCATGTAAGAAAGACACTGTGCTTTCGCCCTCACTACCTCCCTGGATGGACTGTGGAAGAAACTCACTGTCCTAGTATTCAAAAAACTCCAAACAATTTCCAGCCTATTTTTATTCATAGGCAACACAAACTCATCTCCCCTGTGCCAATACTGTCCTTATTTAGCTGGTTCTTTCCTCCGTGCCTTTTCTCCTCAACCTGTAGTCCAAAATTGTATCTCCTCTCTGTGTTACTGCAGCTTGTGTGGAGATCCAAACACAACCACTGCCAAACCAGCATCTTCTGTAGTTCTGAACTACTCTCTGGGCCAGACAAAATTTACTGAATTGGCAAAACCTGGCTTGGTGCTTCATGGTGCATCCAGGTGTGAGCAGCATTAGGAGAGTCCCCTGCAGGATTTGCACCATGCACAGCTCTCCACAGGCTGATTAGCAAATCAATTTTGTAAGTTTGAGAGTTTTACTAAAGTAGAGGGCAATTGCTTTATACAAAGAGTACGTTTATGTCATTGGCCAGCAAGATCTAGTTTCAGTCAAGAAAAATATTTCTATTATGGCACAATCCAAAAAGAAATTAATGGTTGAAAACAACATTTAGTTTAGCTTCTGCAAAGATAACTCACAAAAGCCATAGCATTTTTCTGTTTAATTATGGAATTAAAATACTTCCAAAATTATTGGTTTTTATTTATGTAACTACTTAGCTGCTACATAATAAATGTCAATCCATATCTACAGATATAAAAATTACTCCTTCTTTGAGTTACAAGGAAATCTAAATCACTACAAGGTTCCTGTGGATCCTCGGAATTCATAACAAGATTAAAAGTGTTAATCCTGGTGCTACAAATGTGGATTCTGATTGGTGCAATTGAACATATCTCCTGTAATTGCTCTGAGCTAAAGAGAAAGAACTGGCAATAGACTAATGAGGCTTTCAGGCACATGGCAGGAAGTCAAAAGTCTACCAAAACAGATTTTTAATTTCTACCCACATATATTAGAAACACATGCTGATAATCAAGTCTGGGAGTCCTGAGGTCCCCCAATAAATCACCCCATCATTCCCTCCTTACATAAGCTCTGCACCTCCAGATGGGCTTTCACCTAAAAATCACAGAATGTGCTGAATCCATCAGGATCATCAAGTCCAACTCCTGTCCCTGCACAGAACCCTAGATTCTCACTGTGTGCCCCAAAAATATTGTCCAAACACTTCTTGAACTGACTGAGAAACTTCAGGGAAGATATGTCTTTATTGCAATATGTGGAAGAAGAACCTGGTCCTTGAAAATGAGGGAAATTCAATATCTACACAGTTTTCTTCTGAAGTAGAACTGGATCCACAAAAGAAAAATCACACTGAGCCCCACCTAAAAGTCTTAATCAGGTTGAATTATAAATCTCAACACTGGTGTTGAAGGAAACCACTCTCTCTCCACAGCAGAGAAATCCTGTGACCTTATTACACCACCATAAAATGACTCAGCTCCTTGTTGGCTTTAAAGAGGTTAGTAATTCATAGATGAAAAAAACAAACAATAATGTCCTACCCTGCTGCCTTGGAAACAACATCAAGATCTCTGGGAAGCTGCAGGAGATCTCTGTGGGTTTTTTCAACCTCCTAAAATTGAAGAGAAAAAATGGTTATGTTATACAGGCTGTCAAAGAGTATGAAAGTTTTTCAGCTGGACAACATCTGGACTGAAAAATTAACACTTCCATTTTGTTCTTATAAGTGTAAGGATAAATTTAGTCTTGTTCATTCTTTTTCTCATGTTGGCATCCACAGGGAATTAAAAGAAAGGAAAAGACTCATTTTAAGTGCTCAGGCTAACATCCCATGAGCTGCCACAGTGCACAGGCTGACCTGAGATTTTGTCTTCATACCACAAAAATAAATTTCATTTGACAGATGCATTTGGGATATGTGTCAACACAAGAGAGCACTTGAAGAAGAGAAAGAAAACTGCCAGCAGACATGTCAAGGGAACTGGAGGAAGGAAACCTAGTGTTACCTCTTCAAATATTACTGTATATGGATGTGATTTCATCTGCATAGAGATCTGTGGAAAAGTCTCCATGGTATTTCCAGCACAAAGGCTCGTCTTCTGGGTACCTATAGTGGGGCATTACTGAGGTGAAAGCCCCTTAGCTTCTGGGGAATTAATATTTGAGAATAATGCATACAGGATTAATTTCTCAGTTTTGTTGTACCTCCAAAATATGGTGAAGCAGAGTAATGTTGTTTTGGTTTGCTTTTGTTTCTGTTAGTTTGAGCAAGGCACTAATTTTAAAACCTCCAGCATCTCCAGTGTGACGTCCCTAGAAGACACAGAAAAAAGTTCCTTCTTTCAGTTTTCAAGTCTTGCATTGTTTTCTGTTATCTTTAGAATACAACAAATAAAGAAATCATTTTACTTACATAGTTCAGAAAGTTTCCAACTTTAAGAATCAATTGGCAGAAAACTGGCAGTCGGTGACTGGTAAGAATTGCTAAAGAATAACAAGAGAGACATTTTCAATAAATTAAATTAAATTATCTGCAATAGGATTTTCTTTAGGTTGACAGTGATGGTAACAAAATTTTCATCCAAGATTATGTCAAGCCATTGTTATGGATTTGGAAAAATACCAGTACAGAAATAAATCAGCTGAATGGAAATGTAATGAGTATCTTTCTATTGTGATCTTTTCATTACAAGCAGATGGAAAACTAGTTTTTCCATTAAGTTTGGAGTATAGATGCATCAACCCTGTAGCTGCCTTATGAAGGAGAACCACATACAAGAAAGTGTATAAACTTGTGAAAGTCTATAGCCCTCACTCCCAGCACATCTTATTCTAGTTAAGCAAAGCAAAGCTCTTTGTGTCTTGTTATCATTGTTAGTGAGAGCGATAATCAAAAGATGCACATTTTAGCAGGGGAATCTGGGGCAAGAATAAAGTTTTTGGCAGAATTAGAACAGAAACATTGACCCTCTTAATGGGATGGAGGGGGAACAGGGATGTCAGGGTAGGACTGCAGAGAGCTGCTGATTGCTCCCCAGTAAAAGCAGCCATAGCACTGACATTAGACATCCAGGTGTAGCCCTGTTTTGTGTGTAAACATAAAAGTTTGCAGTTTAAGTGTTTAACAGGAGATCAATGACCCTCTAAAATCATTAAACTGAAGCTGGAAGAGCACCTTCAATAAAAAGTCAACTTCAAAACCAGGGCTAATTTTGGGTGGAGACTTCTCCTGAAATATTGGTGAACATCATCTGGGATGCCCTTTTCTGGCAGCCAAATCAGATTCTGGTATGGCACAGTGTCCTGCTTCACCACAGAGCTAAGCTGGACTGCATCAGTGCACACTACAGGAAAAACTGGAATTGATTCATTGTTATGGACAAAAATATCTGCTGCACACAAAAATATAACCTGCATTCATACATGATCTGGCACTTACATCTCCATCTCAGGAGAGACCTTACTGCTGTCTACAAATCCCTGAAACTTTGTAGTCAGAGGGAGTTTGGCCTCTTCTCCCAGTGACCAGTGACAGGATGAGAGGACACAACCTCAAGCTGCACCAGGCAAGGTTCAGGTTGGACATCAGGAGGAATTTGTTCACAGAAGGGGTTGTTAAGTAGTGGAATGAACTGCCCAGGGAGGCGGAGTCACCATTCCTGGAGGTGTCCAAGAAACAACTTGGCACTCAGTGCTAAGGTCTGGTTGATAAGGTGTTGATGGGTCAAAGGTTGGAACAAGTGATCTTAGAGATCTTTTCCAACCTAAATGATTTTGTGAACTCTGGAAGTGTTCAAAGGCCAGGTTGGGTAGGGCTTTGAGCAACCTGGTCTAGTGCACGGTGCTCCTGCCCATGGCAGGGAGGTTGCAACGAAAACATCTTTAAGGTCCTTTCCAGCCCAAACAATTCTGTGATTCTCTGATAAAGAGAATTTCCTTCTTTCTCTGCAGAACTACTACTTCAGAGCAGACCAGCACAACCAGCAATTCTTCAGAATGTATTCTAGGAGAAGGAATTTGCAGAATAATTTTGATGTTTACTACACATTCAGCCATTAAAAGGTTAATTTTGATTAGATTACAGCATAGGCTACTGCTGATGCTAATCAAGTAGAAGAAAGTGGCTGAGCCTGGGCACTGGTACTTACATTCACAGGCTGTCCTGATGGCTTGTGCTTTTGGCCACAGACACTCCAGCAGAATTTTTGTTTCCTCACAAATCAGCATACATTCAATCCGCAACTGGTAGCTAAAAAGAGATCAGTGGAAAAAAACCACAATGAACACCATGGAAAACAAACCCCACAGGCCTGATTAATTGACTTGTGTTCAACAAGAGCATCATCCATTTTAGGCAAAGCTCAGTACCAACATTCTTATGGTCTCTTTAATGCTCTGACATGAGAACTGGATTATATATAAATCAAACACAGATATTTCCAAAGATGTCCTAGGAACAATTATTATCTCCTCTTTCAGAAAGCAATGCTGGACTGACATCTGGCAGTGACTACCTTGCATAATGAGGCCATATTTTTTTTTACAATTCCTGGGCAACACTAGCCAGGGTTTTAGTTCTTTTTAACTTCAGGAACAGAAACTTAAAGTATTTTGGCAGTGATACCCTTTAATGACATTTATACTTCATCACGGATTAATATTGTGGAAGGAAAACATTTTCTAAAGGACTTTTAAATCTAGCTAGAAGTTTGAGAAAATGAAAAGCCACATTTGCACCACCACATATTCAAAAAAGTGTCTCTGTTTGTGGCATGGCAACTGATCAGATTTACGGAGGGCTATTGCTATTAATTGTAACATATCACCATGGTTTTGAGACAGCAGAAAGAGTTCTCTGTGTGTGCCTCATTTGACTTGGTAAAAACTGGGGAGGTGGTGAAAGCACAGGCACTGCTGTGATTCACTTGTGGATTTGTGGGCTCTCCAGTGGGTGAACTGGAATTTGTAGCCCAGGGGTGGAGTGAATCAGCAGCCTGGTGACAGGATTCAGTCTGCAGCTTCACACCACATAGGAATAGCTGTTCCACAGTCAAGGGTTTTTTCATACCAAGGTTATTTTAACTGTAGTTTGACAAAGGTGTCTGAAAGTCTCTCTGGCCTTTGGGAAGGAAAAATATTCTCATACAAGCTCTACAAATAGCAGTCAGATGATTTATCCTGAAGACTGGATGTCAGGAACATCCCTCTAGCACAAGGAACAGAGGCCTTAATTTTCATGGACAAGTCTTGTAAGAACCACACTCATGGAAAGAGACAAGGAAGGTTTTGCTTACCTGGGAACTTCCAAAAGATGGAGATAAAACTGATCTGCATTTGCCAGCTGTGATTTTTCTTCTTTGTACGATTTCAGGCTATTTATCTAACAGGGAAAAATAGAGCAAAATAACCACACTAATTTAACAGGGAAAATAACCACACATTTCTGTATGTGCCATTTTCTTCTTACAGGCATGACACTGGCCTTTCTGAACTTGCTGTGTGTACAGGCAGTGAGACTAAAGCAGATGAACAATAAATTCTATGTATAAACTGGTTTTCAAGGGCAAACATGTAGGTTTTGTTTTAACTGAGAGGTCTTTTGCCTTTGTATAGCATCTCCTAGGATGAATTCCTGATCTGTAGGCAGGGATTCAGCATGTTATAATACACAGACACTGAGAAACCCCTTTAAAAGGATGTGTCCTTTCCCTTCCTCTTTTTTGAAACTTGCTCTGGAAGACTCTGTTCAGCTAAGTCCATAAACCCTAACATGCTTCATCCACCTAATTAAAATAACAGGATAGGGAGCAGCACTTTTTCTACACGTGTTGAGTCTCCCAACACACTCTGGTTCAACCGCTGTGTGAAGAGGCCAGACTGTTGCTGGGATGGACTTCCCACCACTTTGCCTTGGAATTTCATTGACCTAGATGCAGCAGAAGGATGTGGGGTCCAGTCATAGCTTCTTGCTTTAGCAGCACAAGTTCTGAGCTGAGCACACAACGCACTGAACTCCACCAGAATAATAGATACCTCCTGGTCTTCAGGCAGCAGTTTAAGTAGCTGTTTCAGTATCTCAGCATCCAGCTTGGATCTATCCCCTTTCTGAATCATGGCAGCAATCTCTTCATTGGAGCTGCAAGAAGGAGAGGAATGCTGTGGAGCATGTGGGGGAGTAACATGGCATAAAAGACCTCAATCTCTCTGCTGGCACTCCAGGAGCAACTGAGGTAATTTATACTACACTTGCCTCCCATTACAGTTTGGATCTTAGTCCTCAAAAGCACTGTGGAGATATGAAAATGCAAAGATTTTTCTTTTAGGCCTAAACCAATATTCCTTACAATTTAGGTGTTGTCTTTGGCCTTTGTTCACTTTTGCACAACAAACCCCAAAGCTCTGCTTTTACTATGGGTGTCCAGTGCCACTGAGAAGGTATTTGCATTTGAATTCATCCACCATTTGCAGCAAAGACAAGGATAAAACCAATGGGTCCCAGAAGGTTTTAACTCAAATCCTTGCCTGAAACTTTGGCAGGCAACATGTGTTTGAAATGATTCCAGATTGCTGTGGTTTGGACTCTGGAGAGCTGAGCTTCCTCAGCCAGCAGCGCTAAGAGAGGCAGCACCCGGCTCCAGAGCAGCCTCATCCTTCACAAGTGCAGTGGGACTCAGCTCTCTGATCCCACAGTCACCAGCTGCTCTCAGGAGAGCTCTGCCACTGCCCAGGGAATCATGCAGGGAGAGGAAATAGCATCTGCATTAGGTTATGCACCATTCTCCCCCACTGAGAAGTTTGTCATAGAAAAAGAATAATAATAATTAAAACATCCCTCTGACAGATTCTGATTTATTCTTAATGAAAAGGGACTTCTTGGCTGAGTTTCTTCTTGAAACCCTTTTAAGATGGGCCATGACACAAAGGGCAGAGAGGGAGCAGAACATCCATCATCATCCTGCCACAGTTTCAGGGAAACTAAGAGTAAAGATATCTTCCCAAAAACTAGTACAAATTCCTTTACTCCCCAACCCCTCTATGAGGGCTGTGACTTGGTAAATTTCCATTTGTTTAATTATTCAAACTGTTTCCTATTTATAGAAAAACTGCACATAAAAGCTATGTATGATTTTGGATCTGAACTCCTGGAGATGCCTCTTTAAAAGCAATGAAGTGACTTGAAACTTCCATTTAACAATCTTTGCTAACAGTTCCTGCCAGAATTTGATATTTATGACAATAATACCAAAGAAAAACATGTTTCTACATAATTGTACTGCTATTTATGAATATTGTCTCTTTAGGAATTAGTAGTTCATTCTAGATTTAATATCAGTTTGAAAAAATATATTAATTGTCTGGAAAAAGACTGTTACCTCTCATTATTAAAAAAAAAAAAAAGGGAAAAAAGTTGACTTCTTGTCAAAGAAAGATAGTACTTCCAAAGTATTTTTGCTAAATTAATTTCATTTAATATATGAATAAACGCATAGACACATCAAATCAGTAATTCAGAAGCTATTCTCCAAATCTTACCACTTAAATTGCTTCAGAAATATACTCAGAAGAAAGCTTTTCTTTGGACCTATGAATGTGATCTGTGAAAAGGAAAAAAAAATCAGTCAGCTAGAAATACATTTACCTTGGACGTAACAGATTTTCTAGAGCTTTTGTTTGTTTATTGAGAGAGATGAATCCTTTTTTAGTAATAATATTATCAATAACCTTCATTGATCAAACCCCAAGTAATTGATAACAATGCAGGCTATTAGATCTATTTTAGAAAGAGGCAAAGGCAATTTATTTGCTTAATCAAGTTTATAAGAATTGATATTAAAATTCCCACATCCTCCCTGTTTCAGATGAAGACCTATCCCTCAGCAGAGTTACTTCAACTTGTTTCATTCTAAACCTCCCCTGTGTTTTTTTTTAAGGCAGCCTTGGGCAGTGGATCCCAAAATATTTCAAGCTTCCTTATAATAAATGCATGACAACAATAAAGAAATTAATAAGCTTTTCACTTCCAAGAACTTTGCCATTTTCTACAAAAAGTGGGCAGTCCAAGTACCTCTTTTATTTTCTTTATATTTGGCTCTGTTTTCTCTGTATGTGTCCTTGGTGGGACAGAGAAAAGAAGCTCCAAGGTTGCATAATCAGGTTCCACAAGCTCCTTGCTGCTGCTCGGCATCACAGCCCATATGGAGCGGCTTTCTGGAAGAGAATAAAAGCTCAAGATGGACCACAGAGGTTGAGGAACACTTTAAAGGCAGTGTGATTTGTAAAAGGGAAAACATGTTCAAGGATGAATGAAATATGATGCTCATTAGCCCTGGACAAATGTGAATTATTTAAGAGTGACAGCTCCCACAGAGAGCATCCCAAAGGTTTGAAGCCTAATTAAACCTGTAAGACTACTGCCACATTAAATTCACTGAGCTGAAGGCAGCAGATGAACTTAATGGGCTGCTCCAAATTGTTTTTGCTATTGCTGACCAGATACACGTTGGAGGATTGTGGTACCGAAACACGGGATGCTGCATCCAATTAGGTAAACATCTCTTTTTGCAAGAGATAAAGACTCCCAAGCCTTTATTACCAGAATCATCAGGACCTATCCAAATAACAAACAGAACTTCAGAACATGAACTTGTACACCATGGGAACCTTTAAGACAGGACCTCATTTTACTTTAGGAGAGACTGAAACAGTGACACTGAATGCATTGGGAATGAGTCTCAGTTTGTGTCCCTGCACAAGAAAGCAGTCCGTGGCTCAGTTTTTTTATATCTGTGTTTATATATTTTATCACAGCAGCAAGTTTTTGCCTCTGATATCCCCTTGTTTTGGAGATCAGCAAGGAAGAACAACTGAGATCTGTGTTGTGTAAACTGAATATCAAAAACTGCGCTGAAGATGTGTTTGCAGCCTCTTTGCTGGAAGTTGAACAAGACTTTCAAGCCCCTTTGGCACATGGTAACCACAGACTCTTAGGGTTATTTATTGTGTGTGTGTGTGAAACACCACACAAATCATGTGCCTGTGGTCAGTGTGAAATGAAATTGGGAACTACCCTGAGGGTACACATTCCCCAGCCCTAGTGACAAGAGTTCTCAGCCTCAGATCTTGGCTGGTGCATCTTCTGGCTGTGCAGGAACATAAAAAGCAAAGCAAAAGCTTCATCTGAAACTTCACTCACTGGTGATGTGCCAGCAGTTCATTAAGAAGAACCACAGAACATGACCCTTGAAAGGATCTTTCCACTCCACACACTCAGAGTGTTTTGCAAACCTTAATCAGTACAGACTCACAACACCCCTTTAACAAGTAACAAATAGAGATTGAGAGGTTGAAGGTAACTTCAGCAGCCACAGAGCCTCAGCTCAGAGCTTCTCCCAAACAACGATTTCCTCCACTATTGACAGAGGACTGCCTTTCCATATTTATTTTGTGATTATGATTTAGAGCAAGCAACAGGACCACATGTGTGACCTGACTTATGAGTGAAGGTTTATTCCCCCATCATCAGTGCTTTCCTTTGGCTGCAAAGTGCACAAACCCATCAGCCCAGTGTTACAAACAAACACGTACGTCTCACCACGTCAGAGGGCAGCTTCTGCCAGTGAAGCACCTTCATCCTCACCATCGGTGTCTTCCTAGTGTGGGGCTGCTCCCCACATCCACAGGTGGGATGCCTGCACCCAGGATTGCTGCAGAGCTGAGGAGATGGGAGTGATGGGGCATTTATGCCAGGCATGGAAACAGGGGGAAGAGGTAGGGGTGGAGGTGCAGGCAGCTGTGGTAGCAGAGCTGGCATGACAGACTGTTTGTGGGAGGAAATGTCTTTCTGAGAAGGTGATGTGTTCCCTGGACAACACTCTGACTTCCCAGAAAGGCCAGCTGTCAGAGAAAGGCTCAGGTCTGCACTGGGGTTCTCCTCTTCCAAGTCCATATTAACTTGAATGCATTTGTTCACCTTGGGAACAGATCTTCTAGGCACTGTTTTGTGGTGATTTGAGCAGTGCATGCTTGATAGCAGACTCTCCATGGCTTGTCCCGGTCCCATTTTCCTGCTCTACAAGACAATGAGGAGGTGCATGGATTAGCAAAGGTCCTCACGACTGCTCTCATAATTCCTACAGAGACACAGACATAACAGTGACCTTCATATTAAGGTAAGCAACTTATTCCTATTTCTAACTTTCCAAATGACAGTTCGTAGCAGTTTCACCTTGGTGAGTCAGGAGCAAGGCAGTCCTTCTGGCCAGGAGGCTCATTTTTACTTCTCTTGATCCTTCTACATTCTTGTTTTAATGCATAAAAAAAAGACAAAGCAAATGCTAACAGCATAGGAAACCCTTACCTGGTCGTCTCAAACAGCAGGGACACAGTCACTTAACCCTGAAAAACCACAATTTACCTTGGGTGCAGAGGATTTAAAGGGAAGCTCTCAAAACAGCCTAATAAAATAAACAAGCTACAGCTGAGGTGGAGGATTCACGGTGAGCTGCTCAGGTATTTGTGACTATGCATGGAAACGACTAGTAAGCATTTAAATAAGATTATCTTTCCTATTTTGCACTTAAACCAAATTTTAATCTAGAGAAAATCTTTATATTTGTCTTGAGGCTATACAGTTTCTCTCAGAGGTTCTTGCAAAAGACTGCAGAAGTCCCTATCTTGTGTGTATGACCAGTTCTAGACATGGAGACAGTCCTACCAAAGTTAGTAGAGCATTTGCTAGCTCAAGACTTGGCTTTGTTTGCTTGACTGAGAAAGCCTTTCTTTTGCAAACAATTGCATTTCCTGTGGATGAGCAGTGTTCTGGGACACTTCATCTCAGTAGCTGGAGCTGCTGTGTGATTTCTCTCTTTATAACCTCTAGAGCAATGAATGACCATCAAAAATGGCAGAAGCAGCATGTGCTCAAAGGTGAGCAGTGAGCAGACTGTCTGTGCTCCAGAAATAACACAATAGGTGCAGCATTTTTAGGGACTACATGTAGGCAGAAACAAACCCCCTGTCATCCCATTCTTGAACAAAACACACATTAATAGCATCAGCAGTTTTAACTAGTTGGGGGCTTCCATTTCCAGTGCAGCATGAGAGATTTTTTTTTTTTTTTTTGGTACATGCACCACATTCATGTTTTCAAAGAGATGGGTTAATACTTATGAATGACCATTTTCCTCCTGACACAGCAATTTTTGGCAGCTACTAATACAGAGAAAACTCATTAAGGGAGCCACATTAAAACCTGCAATTGATGCATCTCTAGTCCGTAGTATACCTGTAAAACATCTGCTATAATTTGGAACAGTTTGTCTTTGAAACCTAGCAGTTCATAGTGATGAGAGTCTCCAGCTCCTACAGCTGCAGTAAAATTGTGAACCAATGCATCTATAGCAAAAGAAAGGAATAAAATTTTGATTTTGTTTTTTCAATCTTAATTTAGTAAGAATGGCTTACATTAAAAACATTAAATGTTAAATCAGCCAGTAAATAACATTTAATTCACATACTAAATAGTACCAGTTAAAATAACTAAGTTGAAGGCCTATAATAGAAAATGAATATTAACCACATTTTCATTTTACTTTAATTAATTTGTTGTTGGTTTCTATATTTATTTTTTTTTTTGCACAAATAAGCAGTTATCCCAAAGGTAAAGCAGGCTTACATTTAATTTAAGTAAATATCTTAATGCATCCCCTTTAGGACTTCACAATCTTTGTGGTAAACTTGTACATATGCCTGTAATTACCCTAACAGGAGAAGTGAAGGATTCAGGCCTGTGAAAAAGCTTAATGAGAAATGAGAAAGCCTAATGAGAAATAAGCCACTTTCTGCTAGAATTATTAGGAGTAAAATGAGCTGATTAAAAAAAAAAAATCTTATTAGAAATGCTCATGTTAAAATTCTGCTGCTTGTTTATTTTAATTAAGCTATAGGGAGAATCAGTAAGACTATTAATTAGGAAGCTCTTTTTCTTTTAATCAGAGTGCTCATCTAAATTGCTACAGGGTTTGTGTAAAGAAAAATCTTATTTTTAAAAATCCTGCTAACAAGTAGTACTATACTAGAAACAGCTAATATGCTTTGAATGATAAATAGGCTTATAATAATGTATTTCCAAAGATTATACTTTAGAGACTATGTAGAGAATTCCATGCTTTTAAAAAGATTAAAGCTTTGGTATGACTTCAAGGCAGCTGTAACTTACATTGCTGATAATGAGCTTTTGGGTATATCTCAAAAAAAAATAAATCTCTGTGTGAAATTTCTCCTTAGAAAGTGCAGCCTCCTCTCCTCTGTGAATACACACATAAATAAACACATCTCAATGCAGCCAGACAAGCACTTGCACTGGCACCTCTTGGGCAGGGAACAGAGATTGACTCAATACATCAGCCCAATTTGATGATCCTGTTGAATCAGTAAACTTGCAATTAACTGAGAAGCTGTTTTCAGTGCTCTACAGCTGTTTTCAGTGCTCTGCTTTTGTTTGATGGGGAAAGCTGATGATGCTTGAGGACCACCACATTAGAGACTTCCACTTTTTTATCTGACTACTGACATGCTAAAAATAGGCACACTTCTCATTAGCCTTGAAAGAGAAGCGGTATTTTGACGGCACAGGATTCAGAATTTTAAGTCAGATTTTAAAGGTATCTAAGCTGTGTGATTTGGATCATGTAAACACTCCCAATTTTTCACTGCTTGGCTTTGTAATGGACTGATATGGAGCTACCTTGTTTTGAAAAACCTGAATTCTTTGTAATGGGAATTTCATTTATTGGTCACTATTATACTATAAACAGGGAATGAATGTTTCAGAAGACCTGGTATTTCCCCTTGTGTGCTATAAATACCTAAAAGGTTTCTTTTGAGGGAGATGTTGTTTAAAAGCTGTACCCCACCACACACATTCAAGGTAACCACCCAAAGTGTAAGATAGTTTTGAGGATATGAAGATGTACATCTTACCAAATGGCTGGAGTTGAGCAGCAGGATGTATAACCCAAATGGGGAGAGGGTTAGTCACTTGTTTATGCAGACAGCTGCCCCCTAACTAGAACAAAGCTGCTGTTCATTAACTCCCAATGGGCTCCACTTGCTTTGCTTTGCATTGAGGCACTGACTTGCATTAAGATGCTCCTGGTGTAATATTCCTCACTGTTGACTTTTAAATTGTGTAATTTATTCTTGAAGATTGTGATTCTTACAAGGATAAAAGTAAGAAGTAGGAGAAAATAGAAATATTAATCCTTTCTTGCACAAGCAATCTTCCCGCTATAAGATTTACTCTTTTCCTTTCAGATACATTCCTAGGGGTTTTCAAGGTTTTTCTGCACCCTGGGGTAAGAGGGGCTTTTGGGGAACAGTAATTCCTTGGAACTTCCCCTCTTCATTTTGTTTTGACTCTAAGTCATACTTAGAAAAAACAGTAAAGAGAAAAATATTTTTTTTTCTTATTGCTAACAATATTTCTGTATTTTTCATCAATGTTTGTCAAAGTGTTTCAAAGGAAGCCATTACCCCCATTTTAGAGACGGAGAAACTGAGGCACAGCTTCTGTGCTTGCCCACAGCCTCTTAGGAAGCCAGTGGCAGAAAATGAGTAATCTCAGTAGCCCAAATTGCTGGCTCACAGAGAACACTTCAGTTCTCTGTCTGTCAAAATCCTCTTTAGTCTTTGCAGTCCAACTCTCATTAAGATCCAGCTACTGCTGTGCCCCCATTTCCTCATATAAAAAAGCTGGGAGCTGTTGGAAACAGGAAGCAATTGGAAAAAAAGCTGGAAACAAAGTGAAAGCATTCACTTTTCACCCTGTAAGTGCCCCTGCTGCTGGCAGGAATGTGGCTGTGAAATGTCTGCTTCATGCCTGTGGACACTGTCCTGGGGATGGAGTTAATGAAAAGTCCTCTAAGGGAACTGGCTCCACTTTTTGGCAGCCGGTGGTAAGGCAGGAACCTTGGGATCTGCTGCAGAAGGAGCCTGGGCCAGCAGCAGCAGCAGCTGTGCGTGACAGATGTTAGGAGGTACTGCTGCTATGACCACTCTGCTGGTCTCTGGGCCCTGCAGCAGTGATGAGGGAGCTCAAGGAACCATGGAAAAGTGTATGGAGAGTATGGGGACCGACTGTGAAAAGCAAGAGGCTGGGAGAAGATGAGGATCAGCAGAGGAATTTGTAGAGGATAGGGATGAACAACTCCAAATTGAAAGAAATGTCAATAGTTACTTCAGTTGGGCCTTGTATAGCTGAAGGGATTAAACACAGGACATATTAGCTTTAATCTATGAATATTTGCTAGATTTGAGATAGGTCATGGTTTGAAGAGATTGCTGTCTCATCTGATCTACAAGCAGGTGTGCTATGGTTTGCCCCCAGACCTCTGCAGGCAGCTGTGTGTGTCACAGAACATGCCCTGTGGAGATCAGGGTCCCTTTGTCCTCTAGACCTCTAGAAAGGCAGAGCAGTTGAAAACACTTGGAAGGATAAAACCTCCTTCTTGTGCTGTTCTCCCTGGGGGTCACTCCAATTAAGGAGTTAAATTAGAAAAACAAACCATTTGTCTGTGATTCAGGATGGGTCTATAGACTGCTGGTATGGTGAATGCAGTTTCTCTCCCTGGGGCATATTCTCTGTGTATAACACCGGTTCAACAAAGAGGATTAGCATACAAACCTGAAAGGGTTTCTGGACTCTCATTACTCCTATCTTTTCTGCTTCTTGCTGAACAGAGAATCATAAAAAAACTTTGTTTGAAAAGGACCCTGGAAATGGTTTTGTCCAAGCTCCCTTTCAGAAGATCATCATCACTACTCCGGTTTTGTCTAATTGAGCTGTGAAAATCTGAACAAATGGAGGTACAAAACATGGCAAAGTGTATAGAAAAACCTGTTGGTCTCACAGGATGAGTCCTGGAAACTGTGTGCTACTGAGGGCAGGATTACAAAATCAAGTTGTGGCTTTCAAAGGATTAGAGGACCAGATTTCACAGACCTGTTGCCCTTTTTGCCTGTGCTGCCTCTGCTTCTCCTCATTCTTCATCTATTCTGACTGACAGATTTGGTCATTAATTGTCACTAATTCATGACCAAATTTACAGCAGATTATGCTGCATGAAGCCACATAAGTACCAGACAAACACATCAGGTTCTGCATGCCCTGAGCAGGGCAAACCAACCATAACTGTAATAATGTAGGTGTCACCAGCAAAGACTGCTGATCTTAGAAAAAACCTCCTTTGACAGGCTGGGAGTGTATCTAAACTGACTTGATAGGAGCTGACTGCCACAGAGTGATTCTTGTCTTCTGACTTTGAGTAATGCAAGCTGAGCCTGCTTAAATCTCCATTAGGGAAGCACAGAGCTCCTGCTAATTCCCACTGACACCTGGCTCTGTGTGAATTGTTGCACACAGCTCTTGCAGGAGTTGTTTTTGCTGCAGCACAGAGAGCATTAGAGAGCTCCTCATGTGAATTAAGTGCTAGCACAGCACAGATGAAGCAGTGAGTTGCCTATGGAGCTGACTGAATATGTTGATTAACTTGCAGTGATCAAATTCTCCCCTGGTATTTAAGGTGTAGTACCTGCTCTGAACTAAGGAAACGGAAATATTTTTTTTTTACTATGGACCTCATTTCCATTGCAAATCCTGAAAATTATGTGATTATTTGGCAAGATTGACACCATGCAGTAATTGAAAACATCTAGAGAGGTCCTTTCACTATCACTGCCCCATTTTTAACCCTCTGTAGTCACTCTTCTAGTAATGGGAAAGCTGTTTGTCATATCCTGCCTGGTTTTGATTGTGAGGTGACCAAACAAAATGTGGTTTCTGATGGAGATGGCTCATGACTGCATTTGCCTTCAGACACATTATGTGGACATAACATCAGGACTAACATGTTCACCCATATTTCATGGCCATGACTATTACTACACAGACAGAATGAGCCTGGGTTCCTACAGTGCTGATGTTTAGCATTGGTAAGCTTGCATCTTGTACTTGGTTTATCACTGTGTACTAGGAATATGAAGCTGTAGATCCAGGCTTTATGTTTAGACAAATGGAAACTGGTTAATTTTGCTGAAACAGGCTTATGCATTTTTATTTCAATTTATCTTGCCTCTTTCTAATTGGAACACAAGGTATTTCTCAGCCCCCTTGGCTGTATGGAATGTAGGAGAGGAGAGAATCAAATGGCACACTCAGCCCAAGAGATACTGGCATAGTTTTGAGATTTCAGCCACACTCCAAGTACAGTGCAAAGCTGTGGTGGTGCTTGTGGACTGGATATAGCTCCATTTATATTTCTTTTCATAGCATCACTAACTTTGGAGAAGGGCCTCCAAGATCATCAACCTTCAACCAAACACTGCTGTGCCAACTAAACCACAGCACGAAGTGTCATATCAAGTAGTTTCTTGAACATTTATAGGGATGGTGAGATGTCATGTAGAGAACAAATTAGGAAGGCAAAAGTTCAGCTAGAACTCAATCCAGTCACTGCTGTGTAAGATTATAGAAAGTGTTTTTACAAAACACCACTAACAAAAGAGGCACAAGGAACATCTCCATCCTTTATGGGATGTGGAGGGGAACATTATCACTACAGATAAGGAAAATGCTGCCTTCTTTGCCTCAGTCTTTAACAATAAGACTGGTCATCCTCAGGGCAACCATCCCCCTGAGCTGGCAGTCAGGGGCAGAGAGCAGAAAAGACCCCCCACAATCCAGGAGGAAATGGTCAGTGACCTTCTGTGCCACCTAGGCACTCACAAACCCATGGGGCCTGATGGGATCCTCCCAAAGGTACTGAGGGAACTGGCAGAAGAG